AGCTCCCATATTTCAGCAGTTCGAAAATGATGAAGCCAAAGCAAGGTTTTAAAATTTTAAAAATAAGAAGCTTTTCTTTGAGTTGGGGTTTATTTTTATCGATGAAGTGGATAGCAGTTTTGGACCGGACATAATGGACATTGTTGTTCCATAAAAATGGAAAAAAATTTGCAAGGTATCCTGGTTCAATGAATGCATCATTGGTGAAAGAGTTTTATGCCAACATCTCTAAGCCGAATCAACATTCTATTTTTGTGCGAGGTAAGCATATTCGGTTTACACCAACTGCAATTAATAGATACTTTCATTTGTAGGGTGTTGAGGACCAACATGCCAAGTTTGAAAATGACACTGACAGTTCCACTTATGATGGAGTTTTGGAGGACTTATGCTTTGACAATACCTCATAGAATGGACGGTAAGCCTGCCGCTATTCGGTTAACCGTGAACATCTTCAACCGTGTGCCAAGATGTGGAACCATTTCTTTAAGCACAAGTTAATGCCTACAACCCACAATACGACAGTATCTCTTTCTCGTTTAATGATTTTAAATTTGATCATGGTAACCCATTCTATTGATGTGGCTCAAATCATTTTTCAACAAGTGCATGAGTGTTTAGGTGAAAAGGCAAGTGCTTTAGTGTTTTCAAATTTGATTATTTCTTTGTTTCGAAAGAAAAAGGTAAGTGCAAATGCTTTTGATGAGATTTTATCTAGAGTTTCGAGCATTACTAGGGCTAGATTACCATTATTGTTAGGACTTGAAAACCCAAAATCTAAGGCCCCTGCTCATGAGAAGTGTACATGTGTTGCACAATCTAATGCCGAGGCAAGGATGCTTGCTCTCGAAGAAGTTGTGACGCAAACTCAAACTCACTTACATGCTTTACATGGTGATATTCACAATTTCTTTGGTTATGTCAAACAGAGAGATAATGTGGTGGAAACGATGTTCCAAGAAATCCTTCCCCACGTCCAATAGAATCTTTCAGGCTTTCCGGATGAAATTCTGTCGGCATTCAATATTGAGGCATCTCCTGATTCAGAGCAAGATGACGTCGATCCTCCAGTTGAAGAACCCACTCTCGACCCCTAACGATCTGAGACCCCTAACTCACCAGTTGTTCCTCCTGAAAAACACCCAGTCCAGTTCCTATTCCTGACCCTTCTCCTACACAACGCAGTGGCTGACGTACCAAAACCTCAGCTGGACGCTTCAATATATCACATTACTACTCTACCTCTTCAGAGTCCAGTACAGTGCCACTACGAAAGTGCACCAGACGAGGAGCTTCCAGCACTTCCAAGACTACACCACCACGCAAAATATGAGGTACCTCCACTTACATCCATTTGCATTTATTTTGCATTTCATTGCATGACATATATTTTTATTTGTTTTAGTTCTCTTTAAGCATTGAGGGCAATGATTCCCTTAAGTTTGAGGGAGGTAGTGTTCTCGGTAGAGCATATGCATAATAGCATTAGTGTAACATTATGCCCTGGCATCAGTAAGTGGTAGGACAACTAGATAAAAGGTCTTGATGATACCTGATGATGATGAACTTGTGAGGATAGAAATTGAATATAAATGACTATTGAGAATGATAGAATTGACTCTAGGGCTTGGTGCTTTGTAAATTAATTTTACACGATTTGTATGTTCTCTATACTTAGGAAATTTAGAAAAAAATTATGAAGGAACTCTAGTTAGTTTTGGCATTGAAATTTAGTATTGCGCTTAAAAGATAAATAAAAAATAACTCCCTTATATCTGAGACTGTGAATAAATGCTTAAGCATAGTTGTAGAGGGACACTTCGCTTTGGCATGACATTGCCTGGAACTCTCTTTAATAAATGGCAGTCATGCGCATATGAGTGAATTAAAGTAGTCACATGATGACTCTACTTAAATAGCTTTGGGGTGTAAGGTATGTTCCCTTTCACCTAGAGTGTAGGATGGTAGGTGTGATGAGCTGACTCCCTTCCTAGCAGCATTTGAAAAAAAAAATTCAGTAAGAAGGGAGTAAAAATGTGCTTAATGAATAAGTAAATGCCTTGGAAAAAACTATGGGACTTGATTAGAAATAGTTTAAATTTGCTAAGTATAGATTGGATACAATCACGCACACACACTACGACAAAGAATCTTGACCTAAGGAAAAGTACTTGAATTCTTGATATGTCTAGCATGTTGAAGCCTATTTTTATGAGGGTTGAAATTCAATTTTTATCCTGCTGTCCTATTGTTGAAAATTGCCATGATATTCTGCTTATGTTAATTGTTATCTATTGCTTGAAGATAAGCAATAGCTTAAGTTTGGGGGTGTGATAACTTCTTTAAAATGCTACTTTTAAGGCCTTTTTCACTTATGTTATTGTTTGTTTAAAAGCTCATTTTAGTCATTTTAGGATCATGTAGTTGCATATAGCTGCATTTGTGGTGGTATTGTTATTTTATCTTTTTAAGGATGTTATGTGAGAGAAAGATGCAACTGTTTGTGGTGTGCAGGAAATAGCAAGCAGAAGGTCGCATTGGGAAGGAATGTCGTGGTATCATACGTTGATGAAGAAGATTGAAATACCTCTGTATTTCTGGCATAGAAAAGGACAAAAAGATATTTCTGTAAAAGGATAGTTGGTATAGCACATGAATGATGGTTGTAACCGCCTGTTGGGGGACCACTGCCACTTGAAGGATAAGGTTCACGCACAAGGAATGACTCTAGGGGTATGATGGGTATTTGGAGCACAACAACCTCATCATTACCATTAGATATTTTTATTATATATTACACCTCACAAGAAAGAGAAAAGGGGAGAAAGATTTTCAACAACATTTTTCTTATCTTTTTACTGTATCCCTTTCTTTTCCCTTTCCTTTTGTTACTACTTTTCTATTTATTTTTGGGTTGTTTGGAATGAATATTTCATGGCTTGTTCTATGGATGATTCGAGCCCCACCATGAACTAACCTTATTTGGTGGGGTTGTTCGATAGATTTTTAACTTTAATTTAATAGTATATTTATGTTTATATTTTTGTATTTGCTTGTTTTGCTTATGAATTTTTCATCGTCTAAGCTTGTAATAGGCATGAGAGTGTCCATTTATTAGATTAAGGCTAGGTGTTTGAGAGAAACTTAGCTAAAAATACTTGTAGTATTCGAGAGAAACACAAGGAAATATCCACATAAGCAATGGGTTATAGTATTTTCTTAAACTTTGAACTGGCCTAGTAATACTATATCCTAATCCCTTAGTACATGAGATAGACTAAGATAGAATTTCAACGATTGAAAAGGGTAGTTTTTATTAATAGTGTAGGCTGCAATAGATGAGACTAAGAGGAGATGTCGTGGCATTCTATTCTGTTAGGTTCCTTTGACTAGAGAAAGCGGGAGCACTTTCAGCAAACCCTGTCGAGCAAGTGAAGTTTAGATAGATTAAATCTGCCTGAGAGATAAGTTTAGCATCCTTAAATCAATCCCTACCATTCATTCTAGTGGAAGCTTATTGTGTGTGAGGATTATCAACTTGTTATATATTTTTTGTTTTTACTGTTTTCTATTGCCTTAACATTTCAATCATTCTCAACATTAAAATATGTTCTTGTCACTGCATTTCCATTCGCTACACCATCATACCATAAATCCATATCCACCAACATACATTTTCCATTGTCGTGACATTTTTCATTAGTACATATCAACACTAACTATACTTAATAGAGTAGTGCTTTGCTTTGGTTAAACTTTTATAATTTCAACCAATCCCTGTAGAGACTATACTCACTCATCACTTTATTACTTGAACTATTGTGTATAGTTGCACATTATTTGCGTATAATTTTATAATACTCACAACACACAATATTGGGGCAGTGAGATAAGTTGTGCAACCAGTCAGCAGTAAAGCAAATAGAATTGTTAACCAGTTTGAATCTATCCAAAGTGTACCTACAAAATATTTTTGATCTCGTTTTAATAACATTTTTTCTTAATGAAGGAAACTCTAATTTTAAAGACATTTTTTGGATCAACGCCTCAATTTCATCATGTATTTTGCATTTTAATTCAACTAATTTTGCACTATGCATTCATGATTAAAACCTAAATAACTGATAAAGATTATTTCATTCATAAAGGAAAAAGCATTTGACCCACCACATCCTCATAACACCCGATATCAATAAAAAAAATGGAATCCAAACTTAAAGAAATGGAGGACAACTTTGCTAAGTTGTAGAAGGAGATGGAAGAGAACCAAAAACGTTATATGGAAACAATCATGAGAAATCAGAGTAACTTGGTTGATTAGATCGTGGATAAGCTAGCAGGATTGAATTTTACAAACGCCCCTAGGGCAGGGGATCTAAAAAATTTATGGCACCACCACCACCGAAATGATAATCACACTCGATGGTTTCTATGGGTACCCAAGGGACTCTTCTATCATGAAACCACAAGCTTACGTGACGAATCTTTTGAACAACACGAGAGAGTACCATATACCATACTTTGACCAATAAGACAAGTCAAGGAAAATGAAAAAGAAAAAGAAAATAAGATAGTTAGAAGAACAAATGAAAGCTTTCAAATTAGAGGAAAGTTTATATGGGATCCACACTATGGAACTAAGCTTGGTCCCAGATCTTGTGCTGCAACCAAATTTCAAAATTTTAGACTTTGATAAATTTGAAAAAAAATAACTAGCCATCGTTCCTATAACTATGTTATGCCAAAAGATGACAAAGTGTGTGGGAAATGACCAACTCCTAATAAATTGCTTTCAAGAGAGCTTATCGGGTTCAGATATTCAGTGGTATAATCATCTAAGTAGGACTCATATATAAACTTGGAAAGATCTTTCTAAGTCCTTCCTAGAGAAATACAAGCACGTAAATGAGATGTGGTTAGATGTATAATGATGCAAGGGAATGGAGAAGAAGACCAATGAGAGTTTTCTACAATATGCGTAGTGATAGAATGATGTAGCTATGCAAGTTCATCCTCCCTTGGAGGAAAATGAGACAAGGAAACTTTTCATGCATACTCTCAAAGATCCCTTCTTCGGGAACTTACTTGTGATAACTTCCAAGAGCTTCACCGACATTGTGATTATCGGTGAAATGGTAGAGATGGCTATCAAACAAGAGAAAATAGAAGAAAGTGAATCCCATAAGAGGTCATCCTCAGGTAATAAATAAATATAGGTTAACAATGTCACTACCTCTCGACCAAAGTCAATAAAAGCCACTTCATCGAGTCCTCTAAGACAATTTGACCATATTCCAATGACGTATCGAGATTTGTTTCAACAACTCTATGATAAGTATATAGTATCGCCCTATCCAGTGGATCCTCTAAACCCACCATACCCTTGGTGGTACGATGAGAGTACAAATTCTGAATATCATGGTGATGTCCTAAGGCATTCCTTCGAAAACTTTCACACCTTTAAGAAGATCATCCAAAGGTTGCGAGACAAAAATCACATTCACTTTAATGATTCAAAAGAATCCAATGTGGTGTAGAGATCTAATCATAGGGAAACAGGAGATAATTCCACAATAGAGGATGGTTGATAGGTCTAAAATTCCTCCATTACCATTGAGTTGTGCTATCTAGAGAATAATATCTTGTTTGAATTTTTTTTATATATGAATGTTTTCTATCATTGAAAAGATATGAGCAATGAAGTTTTTTTTTAATTTCAGTTAATATCAAGTGCACATTTGATGAATGAGGTTATAGAATTTTGATATATACCGAGATCAAAATCTCAAAAAGATTTATTGACTCATCATCATGCTTGTACCTTTTACCCAAAAAAGGAGAATGAAAGTTATATTTCCCCACACAATGAAGTTGTTAAATACTCATAAGGCAGACAAGATAGAGCATTTTTTTACATGACATGCAAGATGATCTATAATTTTCACAAATGGAATGGTGAAATAGATGAATTTGGCTCAGGTTAGTTGCCTAGAAATTGAGCTCTAACGATGCATATTTTTTTTACTTTCACCGACACTCAGACTATAGCAGATTCTTCTTGATGAGATTAAGGAACCTTGAAATAAAAAAAACTTACAGAAACTAATGAAAGCTAATTTTAACATTGTTGGGGAACTCTGCTGAAAGTAGTAAGTTGTTAATCTCCAAAGGTAATGTCTGAAGTAACTACGGAGGTAATTTCCAAGCTTTATGAAGTGAGTTCCATTCGAGTTTTCAAGTCAAAGACATTTTGGAACTTGAATCCTCTAATTATAGGTATTCCACTAAATTAATGATCCATTCCAATAGCCCTAAATTTATGAATAAGGATTAAATTCAAATAATGACACTAGTCTTTATGTGTCGAGATAAATCTCCCAGCAAAATCAAAGTGAAGATAATAACGTTAAATTTAATGAAATACAATTTGGAGAAGCTTTTAAGGCCTAAAACTTTGAATGAAGATTGAATTCCCATGAAAGGTGTACTAAGGGAATTAAGAAACATCTTTTATAGTTGATTACACAAAAGCACTCATGAATTTTTTTTTTTAGATTGATATTTCTGCATTATCTCTGCTTAAGGAGTTTATGAAACTTGAACAAATTAAAGATTCATGAGAACTGAAACAAAAATGCTCTCTAAAAAGTCTAGCAGTGGAATGTACCAATTACCTTATTATGTCTTCATCCTATTTGAAAAGCATAAATACCAGAAAGAGATGAGACAAAACTGAACTAAATAACATTGCCTTCCTTAGATTGAACCATCGATCTTGACACTTGTCAAAGGGCTATAATTTTTTAAATCAACATGTGTGATTTACTTCTTTTATATTCAGTGAACTGATATTTTTCTTCAATTTATTTGACATCATTTTTACAGAAAACTTTTCAATACTTTCAAGAAAAGATAGTTGTCAAACAACATATATTTTCTCAAATATTGATTGAAGATCTTAAAATAAGTGGGCATCTCCGGAATCCCTATCTCTTCCTTCCTTGTGTCTCTTGATGCAGTTTCAAAATTCCTCTTAAAAAAGTGGGCCTCACAACAATGATTTGATTGGAAAAAAGGCTTTGCACAGGACAAAAGAATGGAAACCTACTCATGAGTAAAACTTGAAGATGCTACATCTGAAGGCAAAACTTGTTAGCTATGATGATTATAAAACGATCAAATAAAACCTTTGAAATATAGGGGAACCTTACTACAGAGGTTCCATGCAAACAACCTAAAGCACCTAAGGAGAGTTTCCATCAAAATTTTGAAGCCACCCAATAATGTCTTTTGCTATATGTATATCTACAGTGGGGTACTAACTTGCCAAAATACCAAGGATTTTGGCCCCATCAATGAAACTACGACTAAGTTTGTGTCTCATGATATGAAAGTAGAGGTCAAACCATCTAACCAATAGTAGAAGAATTATGGATTGATAGTAATGATTATAATATTATGGATTGATAGTAATGATTATAATATTTTATAGGAAGAGTACGACATTTTTTTGGAAAAATTAGCTTCAAGAAACATGGGATAAGGCCAAAATTAACTAAAGAAGATCGAGACTTCTCTTCAAGAATGAGAATGTAAAGAATGATACATTTTTATTTTAGGCATACCTAATTACATTACATACATACATAAAATTTTGCATTTTTTTTCAAATAAATTTTAACTCCACAACAAAGAATATTGAACTCGAAGAACATCTAGGATCGAATTAAGTCGTTATGAAGGAGTCATCTTCAATATATCTTAACTCAACAAAGAGAAACTATTTTTTAACTAGGGTTTCCAAGTCAATTTTCAACTTCGCGATGGAGATACTTGAAGAAAACCCAAATTGACTGTGATTTAGCTTAATTCAACAATAATGAGCTACTTCTTGACCTAGATTTTGAGCAAGATTTTAACTTCACGATGAAGGATATCAAGCTTGATTTCATACAAGACTAGCTTAAACCCGCAACGGAGAGTCACCTGAAAACATTTCACTTGGCTTAAACCCTGAAAGAAAGTCATCCAAAGAATCCTTCCCCTGGTTTAGACCCGCGAAGGGGATTCCTCTGAAGAATCATTTCACTTAGCTTAAACCCGCAAAGGGGAGTCATCCAAAAATATCTCACTTGGCTTAAACTCGTGAAGGGAAATTATCCAAAGAATCCTTCACTTGGATTAGATCGTGAAGGGGAGTCATACGAAGAATCATTTCCCTTGGCTTAAACCTACGAAGATGAGTCATTCGAAAATAGTTCACTTGGCTTAAACCCATGAAGGGAAGTCATCCAAAGAATCATTTACCTGGCTTCGACCCACGAATGGGAGTTATTTGAATAATCATTTCACTTGGCTTAACTTATTAGCGAGGAGTCATCTTCTAATCAATCTTTTCAAAGCCAATTTTAACTCCATGAAGAATGATATTGGGTTTCAAAGCCAAATCAGAATCGACTACAGTCTAGCTTAACTCGACAACAAAGAGTTAGTTTCTAGTTGAAGTTTTCATGCCATGTTTCAATTTCACGGCGAAGGATACTTGTGGAAGTACATTCATAACTGATTGCAATTTGGCTTAACTCAACGACGAGGATCCATCTTACAGTCAAATCTTTTCAAAATATATTTTACCTGCATGGCGGAGGATATCTGACTAAAAGAATGATCATATACAAGTTCTACTCAGATTTCAACTTCACAACGAATGATATCGAGCTAGAAAAAAATCCAACATTTGTTTAGCATAAGTTGATATGATTTTAGAAGAACAACTAGACATCACAACATCAGAAGAGCAAGCTTGCTTTTGGAATTCATTTATCTTGAAAATTGAATGAAAATATGTGTCTTTCTATCTTTGTCCTATTGTCGTTATATGATAAGGGACAAAGAGGGGTAGTTGTAGACACTCATTTTCGTCCGATATTTATGTTGCATCTTTCTATTATTATGTATATAGTTTTATATTATATAAATATATATTATTATGGTCTTTAAAATACACATATATTATCTTTTAAAAACATATAGTTTCAGAATATATATATATAAATGTAGTTTTTAAAAATATATAATATATATTTTTGAAAATATATATTATATTTATATATATATATATATATATATATGTATAGTTTATAAAATATATATAGTTTTATTAAAAATATATATTATATTTTTTGAAATTATATATATTATATTACATATTAAGTATATTATAATACTATTATAATTTATTTTTTTATTTCAAGTTCGGGTCCAAATCTAGTCCAATAATTATAGCCCAATAAAGGTCCTAGGTATCCAAGTCTAGGTCAAAGATTTGAAGGCCCAACAAGCATAGTCTAACATAGCTCTGTATGTTAGGGTTTTGCTTTTAAGACAAGCACCGCAATCACAAGGACCAGACAACCAGGGCATGAATGAACAATCAGGATCGTAAGTAGCTAAGGTTACAAAAACCCTAAGATCAATGTCACATGTACAACTGCCTTAGGTCCGTTGGATCTAGCTTGATGATCCAAGGGTTTGAATTTCATCAAGAGAAATGAAGGATCACCATCTGAACAACTAATGGTGTGTGAAGACTACGCGTCTAAGGACAAACCATATGTCGTTCTTTCTACATTGGTCAGCATTTGATTCATTAAGATTAGCCAAATGAAATTCCAAACACGCTACCACCCATCAAAATTCCATGCAAGATTTCATATGTTTTCGTGCTCGTCCCAATTATCCCGGTGAAACTCTTGATAAATTGAATTGACAATAGAAATGCATGAGGCCTCCCATATACATGTAGGGTGATCATCAATAGCATCGCTAGAAAGAGTAGGGATGGCAATGATATCCCAGATTGTGTCCTTATAAACAAAAAGCTTGAGTTTATCCAAATTCCAATTACCATCGCTACTAGTGAATTTACTGATTGTAATATCAGGATCACAAGGGAAGTCGTTGTTAGCACATTTTACAATCGGGCATTTTTTGGGGATACATACTTTTGCCCAGAATCTTTGCTTTCCCTATTGCCAACTGACCAACAAATGTTGGATTGAATGAAGTGTCAAATCTTAGACAAGGAGCGCCACATAAACGGGCAGCTCTTGGAGGCAATACGAGTGGGCATGATGTTTTAACCTTAATTTTGGAACGATAGAGAGTTACCCACAAAGATTTAGGTTGCATTAAAAAAT